CTGGAACCCCTAGGACAGTGTTGTCTCAATCGGCCCAACTTTCGGGCCCCCTTTCGGCCCCCGCTTTTGGACATATATGGATCCGCCCCTGAAAACACTAAAACTACTTAAGAAAGAAACAGTTGCATGTATACATTTTCATTTCAAAACACTAATACTATAGAGTAATTTTAATTACCGGTACCTTGTTTTTAATTGGCTAGTTATAACTTGGATTTTAATCTGATTGGTCAGTTTTTATTTGCTTTCTGTTATACTTCTGTATATATTGTAAACATATATGGATGGGTGAGATTTTCTCACCAGTATTCTTGAAAATGATCAAATAGATCGAAACGTTGAATCTCAAAATGTCTCTGTCTCTTTTCAGAGTTACTGTCTTTTTGTTTTATTTAAGACTATAGAGTAATTTATGAAAGCAAAGCTGCTAGTTGTTCATTCGATATTCATTATTTTTAGTTTTTTATTGGTTGTTTATTAACCTTTTAAATATCTGTCAGAGCCAGTTACTACATTTAGGTTTATATCATTTAGATTATTCCAGATATTGGCACCATGGTAGGAAAAACTTCTTTTCTTATATCTAGTTTTTGGTTTATATATGCATAAAATGTCTTTAGATCTAGTATTATATATTTGTTCACATTCATTAAATCTGTTTCTTAAATAGGATAATGTTAAGTTATTCATTATTTTATATATTGTTACTGAACTGCTTCGCTATGATATTGTTTTTTTCTAGGTTTAGCCAGTTTACTGTAGGTCTCTTAGTGCTTGTGAGCTAGAGTCATATCTAGATGTCTGCATTTATTATCTTTAAAAGTTTATCCCTTGAAAGTTTATTTTTTAGTGATTGGTTGCCACGACATCGCAGATTTATACTTTGAACAATACCAACACTGCTACTGACTTAAGCTCAAATTGTAATGATATTTTAATGCCAAACTGTGAAAACTTTAATGATAACAAGGGAATTTAAATGAAAAAATTGATGAATTCAGAAATTTACTTCTAAATAACAGTATTGATGTAGTAGCACTTAATGAAACACATTTAGACAAAGAAATTAAGATAATGCAGTAGGCCTATCAATTGATGGATATGATATACAGTATTTAGAAATGATCGAACGGATAACTGATGATTTAGTATTCTTAATTAGAGAACCTGATGCTATTAAGAGAAAAGCTAACAGGGAAAATACTCTAAATTTATGAAATGAAATTAAGAAATAAAGTAAATCATAAAATAAAGAAATGTAAGAAAGATTCTAAGAACATCTGAACAATTTAAGTTGTGGAACCATGCCAGGGATGTAGCCAGGATTTTGAAAGTGGGGAGCCGTTATGTGAGGTACGTAGGAACCGGTGGGGGGAAGGAGGGGTGTCCAGGGGCGAAGCCCCCTGGAAAGCAGCCCACTCTGAAGGTTTTTAGGATTGTTTTGAGATGATAAAGTGAAAAATGCAATAAACGCATAAATAAATAATATTATTAAGCCTAACAGTGGTGGATCCAGGAATTCAAAAGAGAGGTGACCAAGGGAGGGACTTTTAAAGATTGAGGAACCAACCATGCTGAGGTAAGAAAATTTATGATTAGGGCACCTCTAGATGGCCGGAAATTACACTCTCAGATTTAAATTTGGATAGGGGCCTATATTTTGTTTCCATTAAAAAAATTTGGGGGGGGGGGGGGGGAGCCTTGAATCCACCACTGCTCAAAACTTTCTTTATCCAAAATAGTTACAATCACAAAAAATGGGCATGTAAAACAGGAATAGAAATATTTAAGAGTGAGCCCCCCCGGGTCGATGGGAGACATTTGCAGATCAACAAAATTAATGACAATAGTACAGTCTCTTAAGCCGGCACTCATTACATCGTACGACGAATCCAACTCTACTCCCTGAGAACACAACGCCGTCTGCTGATTGTCTGTTGGTCGTGTCTGTCAACGACCGTTAGGCGTAGTAAGTGCTCGGCTTTAAACAGTATGGATTGGATTGAATTTATTCGGTGTAAACACCAAGTGTTCTTTAACGTGCACATGGGCCATAAATGCACACGGGACCAACGGCTTTAAGGTGTCATCCGAAAGACGGTGCACTATTATAACTTGTATTTCAGCCCT